GGGAAAGATCTGAACATTTTGAAGGTGCAGCCTGGGGAGGAGAGGGTTTGGGGAGGACAGGGACCTCAGCGGGGTTTAATGTCACTGAGTCCAGCCTCCAAAGCAGCCATTTTCTCCCGGGGAACTGATCTCTGTCGTCTGGAGATCAATTGTAACAGTGGGAGCTCCTCAGGCCCCACCTGGAGGAGGGAAACCCTATTCTTTAAAGGTAAAGGTTCCCTTGCTCGAAAGCCAGTCGAATCCGACTCTAGGGTTGCGGTGCTCATCTCCGTTTCAAAGCTGAAGAGCCAGCGCTGTCTGAAGACGTTTCCGTGGTCATGTGGCCGGCATGACTAAACACCAAGGCGCACGGAATGCTGTTACCTTCCCACCAAAGTGGTCCCTATTTATCTACTTGCAATTTCTTGCTTTCGAACTGCTAGGTTGGCAGGAGCTGGAACTAGAGATGAGAGCTCACTTCATCATGCGGCACCCGGGTTTCGAACTGCTGAACTACCGACCTTCCACAGCCTGCAGTTCAGGGTCTTAACCATTTGAGCCACTGCACCCTAACCCTATTCTTTAGTTCAGAATATTTCCACCCTACTCTATTTTTAAAAAATTATTATTGGTATGTGTGTGTGTGCACATACATGTGTGAGAGTCTGCGTGCACCTGGAAGTTGTGGCAACCTCTGGTGACTGACCCCCTACTGGGGACCCGGAGGCCGGAGGATATTCAGAGAGGTGGCTGAATTTTATTTATTAATTGATTTTATCTGATTTCTTAACCGCCCTTCCCTGCTTACACGGGGCTCAGGGCGGTTTTACAACACAAAATCCAGCACAACTTTTAAGACCAGTTAAAACTATGAAATTCAGAATTAAAACATTCAGCATAAACATTTAGGCACTTTAAACAATAAAACATGCTTTGGATCCCGCCGAAGGAACCCGCTCGAGTTCTGAACCTGCATGGCAAGACGCAGCCTTCAGACAGCCTCATGGGAGTCCTGACCATTTCCGCAGTAGTGAATTCCCTCTGCACTGATGTTTCTAAGACTGCGCGTTATGTGAAATTTTCTGCAGTGAATTTTTCCTCACCAGGGGCAAACCCAAAGTTTTCTCCTTCTTACCCCGCATTTTTGGAATCCCCAGTTTTAGTGCGGAATCATGTGGTTTGGGGGGAAATCCAGCATTTTCACCGACATGTTTCCTACCTGCCAACAGTGTAAGAATACTGACAGTACAGCCCTATATAGAGTTACACCCTTCTAAGTCCATTTAAGTCAATAGACGAAGAGAGCAACTCTGCACAGGATTGCACTGTACATTTACAGTGTTCTCGCCAGACAAGGAAAACTAACCCAATAAAAGGCTGTCCCCTGAAAACTTCCTAGTACTCAGGGAAACAAGGACGGGGAAATAGGACTATTATTTAGGATGCTGGTTCCATGGATACCCTCAACCTCCATGAGCAGCTTTTGGGGAAGGTGCAAAAGAACCGAGAGGGGCCCCATCTGCTCTGCTTGTGGTTCTTGGGTTTTAACCTGCTTTATTCAGAAGATGAATGGTTAAAAATATCCTTGTCTGTTTCTAGAGAAACACAGCCAGCAAGAGTCAGTGTTTCTCCTAGGCTCGCTAGGCAAGTTATAGATCCATTTCTTTAGTGAATCATCTCTCTCCAGCTGCATTTGACAACCCCAAATCCTTTGATTAGCACTTCCTTTGACAGTTCAAGAATCATTGCTTCTTCCACAACAAAGATAATCTGATCTTCACTATTATGAAAAGATTTAAGGCAAGTAAAAACACTCAAGGGAAGCTCTCTCATCTATAAAGTGTAGCCAGCAATACAATCAATGGATCACACTGCAAGCTAAGTTCGGAGAAATAACCCTTAATATTTGAGAGGCAATTATATCCCTGCCTCAAATTGGGGGGGGGGGGTTGCGCAGAGCATCTCCACTGTTTAATTCTCCTCGTTTGGAACATTGTCTTGAGTTTCACTACAATTCTAAAAAAAAAGCAACCTGCATGATATTCTCCCAAGGAAAAAAGTATAATTAAAAAAGCAATCACATTTTGAATCTTAGAGCTGGTGTTATCAATCAATACAGTTCAGAAACTCCCCCCCCCCAATAATTAAAGAAGAAGAAGGATTGGATTTATACCCCGCCCTTCACTACCCAAAGGAGTCTCAGAGCGGCTTACAAACTCCTTTCCCTTCCCCTCCCCACAACAGACACCCTGTGAGGTAGGTGGGGCTGAGAGAGCTCTGACAGAAACTGCTCTTTTTCAAGAACAGCTGTGTCAGAACTATGGCTTGCCCAAGGTCATCCAGCAGGTGCAAGTGGAGGAGTAGGGAATCAAACCCGGTTCTCCCAGATTAGAGTCCGTGCATTTAACCACTACACCAAACTGGCTCTTAACACAAAGATTCGACATTGGTGGGTGTGGGTACTCAAGAGAGTTCATTTCTTCAAATTCACAACTAACAAGTTATCTCAGGAAGAGTGTTTGCAAGTTATTGTTATAAGAGCTAGCATGGTCAGGCTGGGACTGGGGAGATGAACTTCAGCCCCCTGACAAGCTCTGCACCATCAGCTAGTCATGCCTTCAAGGGGTAGCTTATCTCACAGGGATGTTGTGAGAAGAAAAGGAAGAGGGGAAAACAAGGGGCATTTCCCTGAGCTCCTGGGAGGTACAAAGGGATAGAATTTGGGGTTGGGTCCTTCACAAAATGTTGTGAAGGTGCTGTAAGCCAGCAGAATGGATTCCTAGGGTCCTAACCCATAATGATAGATAAGACAATGTGTTTATACTGGAGGTAACTCAGGACCTCTGCCTAGGATTTGAACCTTCTGCATGTAAAAGCAAGGACTCTACCCCCCAAGCTGCAGTGCAGACTCTTCCTATTTGTTATGGCACCATTAAAATTGGAGAGTTTCTATTTTTCCAAGTTGGAAAGTCACCAAGATTGTCATTATAGTTAAATTTGTTACAGTGAAACTTGGGATTCTTTAAGCCTGGTGCTCAAGGAGAGAGAGCCTGAAATAACTTATACCTGCATTTGCCAGTCCCAGGTCTTGGTCACATGGTCATTTTGATCGGGTTTCACAACTGTTCGCTATCGCATTTAAAAGGGCTGATCAGACAGCCGATTCTGTCTCCGGTATCGAAGCGGATTCACCTCCACAATCCTCCCTGTTTTCTAGCACATTTTCCGACGCGGGGGAAATCAAGTACTTTCCTACTGCTTGCGCTGTGAATCCGCAATTTCTCCTATTTGTTTTGGGGGAAACCACTGCATCCAAGCAGGAGCCATGATTTGCGCAAAGTAATTTTTAAAAAACAATTGTGCCGTGTCTACATGGTGCCTGGAGCCTCGGCACACAACGAAAGCAGTTGGGCAAGGGATGTGTGATCCTCTGAACCCACTAAAAAATATCCCCAATCAAATCTACAGTGGGAACAAATCTATAAGCTTGCCGTGTGACCACACCTCCAGACTCACAGAGATAGCTTTTTTCACCCAAACAAAAACAGCAGAAAAGATCAAAAGAACACATCTGACCCTGCAGCTGGACAAACCCTCACCAACTGTGAATGTGTGTGATTAAAAAAATATATATGTTGTCCTCCCTTACCCCCATAAATCATTGTTAGTCCTGCGTGAATGAGTAACTGTAAATCGCTCAGAGCCAGCAAGCTCTGCAGGATTGAGCGATTAATAAATTTAAAGATTATTATTATGAAAGATTATTATTTACTTACTAGCATAGAGCAGCTCTACTTGATGCTCACTTTTGGAAGTGGCAGGAGGGGTTCTCTGGCTGAACAGCTTCCTCTTTGGTTTAACCAGTTCTCTACAGTGGCACAAAAGATACTGGTCAGAATAATCTCACCACCACCCCCATTCCCACCCCCGGAAAATTAACAAAAGCTGCTGCTCAGTCTTGAGGGGATGAAGATTCTGATTCTGAAAACATCAGAGTTGACAAAATGAATGCCAGGCTGGGCCAGTTTAAGACACCTTTTAAAAAAGGAAGCCACCTGATCCTTCCTGACCCCAGGAAAGATGCAAGGATATTTTTAAAAGATTCTGACGGCATCCAAGGCAAGAAGGGGATGAGCAAGAGGAATGCAAAAACGAAGGCTGGTTTAAGGACATCTAAAGAAGAGTGGGTTAATTCAAAAACCTGGACTAGATATGACAATGGGCCATGACGCAACAGCAGCAATACTGGGTTGGTTACATGGCTGAATTTAGGACTAGGGGAAATTGGAGTTCAAATCTCTGCACAAGCATGAAGTTCGCTGGGTGACCCAGCATATGTCATTCTCTCAGGCCAACCTCCCTCAGAGGGCTGTTGGGGATAAGATGGAGGAGAGGATCATGTATTCGGGTGGGCTGTGGCTTATTAGTAGAGTATGTGCTTTGCCACGGTGGGGCATTGGGGGCAGAGCCCCACCATGGATGAGCCCTGCCCCACCCCCAGGAGGATGCGAGACTCCCTAGACCCCCCCAGCCAAATGCACCTCTCCCCCACAGCGGCAGGGAGGCTGGGGAAGGAAAGGGAAGTCACCCTGCTGCTTCTGGTCAGTTTCACTCCCCTCCATCAGCTGTTAGGTTTAACAGCTGATTGGGGTCCAGTGAAACTGACCAGAAGTGGCAGGGCAAAGAAGGCATGCCTTCTCTCTCTGTCTGATTTCGCACTAGAGCTGCCTTGATGTTGCGCCGCCATTTGCCCCGACACTATTGGTCAATTTCACACCCGAAGCTGCAGGGCTGCATTTTGGCTCGCAGCTTTGCCCAATTTCCCCCGCAGTTTTGTGATCCTGTATTTTGAAGATCACGAAACTGCGGAGGAAATCGGGCGAAGCCGCAGGTCAAATGCAGCCCCGCGGCTTTGGGTATGAAATTGACCAATAGTATCGGGGCAAACGGCGGCACAACATCGAGGCAGCTCTAGTGCGAAATCAGCCTCTCTCTCTCTCTCTCTCTCCTTCACTACCGTCCACCCCACACACTGTTGCGTAATCTAATTAACTTCCCACTCCCCCGCCCCACCAGTTAAGAATTTCTGACTATGGGGCTGTTTGTGTACAAAAGGCCCCAGGTTCTATCTCTGGCATTTCTAGTTAAAAAGCTCAGGTAGGAGGTAATATGCAAGACCGCTATCCGAGAGCTGCTGCCAGTCAGAGGACGCAGTAGCAGCCTTGATGCTCAGCACACTCCAAGCTATGGCCTCTCTCCTCTTTGAAGGAAGATAAGAATGTGCTGCCAAACCACAACTAACTCATGGCAACCCCAGCCATGGGGTGTTCAAGGCAAGAGAGGAGCAGAGCTGGTTTGCCATGGCCTTCCTCCGCGTAGCAATCCCCGAATTCCTTGGTGGTCTCCCATCCAAGTACTGACCGTAGTCGACCCCTGCTTAGCTCCCAAGCCCTGATGATTTAGGGCCAAACTGAAGGAAAGGTAAAGTTTTTTGTTTTTTGTTTTTTTAAAAGTAGCAGGTTATAACCCACACTTTCTGGAAACTTTGATTCTTGACTGCTTAATGGACTCACATTCATACAACAAAGAAACTATTCACGTACAAACACCATGCGTGCATCTCAAGCATCCCTTTCTGGCCCTTAACTCCTTCCCCAGTTTGAGATAGAATGGGTTTAGGTACTCACCCTCTTTCTTCATAGATACCCATCCTGACACACCAGCGATGCTCCTTACCCAACGCACAGAAAGACCGACCTGTCATTTGGAGGCCAAGCCACAGGCTTATATGCAAACTCAGAAGCCAAAAATAGGAATGCCGGGCATAGCTCCAAGCCCCGGGAGGGGGCGGACAGGACCCAGCCATGTGCCTGCGAAATTCCACTCAAGCCATTGTTCCCGCCGAAGGCCACCAGTCCTGCTGAGCCTAACAAGACACCCGATATCCTTTGGGACAGTTGTTTATTTCAGCTCAGGACTTGGTAGCCAGCTTGAGATAGCGAGGCTCAAGACCATAGATGTGGACTCACCCCACCCCGGTCACATGTAATATGAGCAATTGAAGCGGCTTTATCCCAAGACAGACCAAGTGTCTGGTTTGGTATTATCTGTTCTGCTTGGCAGGGTGGCTCTCTGGGAATCTTTTCCAGCCTTGCTAGTTAAGAACTTTGTTGTTGTTTTTTAAGCCGGAGATGCTAGGGGTTGAACCTGGGACCCTCTGGGTGCAAGGCAGGTGTTTTGCCAAGGGGCTACAGCCACCGTCCCACTGTTGCTGTTTATCTGTAATGGCAAGACAGTGCTGTATGCAGTGATTTCAATAGACACGCTGGCCCTTTATGGAGTTGCATAAGCAAGCGTAAGGCCCTTGGGCCGAGGCTATCGTTTGAATGGTGATAGAGACAAGACTAAACAAGGGCCGGATGTCAGCCAATGAAGTCCTTCCATGCAGCTCTGCTCAGACAGCTACTGGTTCAGCTCACACCCTGCTTGCTTGTTGCAAGCAGGAAGCCAGCTCTTTGGCAAGCTGTTTGGATGTGTCCAAGTGAATTGGGATCCATCCGACTTGCACAACAACACTGTTTGCTCACACAATCAGATGGCTTTTCCACAGCGGCCATCCTCAATTTTAAAAGGTGGACAGAAAAAAGGGGGAGGGGGATGTTTTGAGCAGTGCTATTTTTGGGCAGGAATGCACAGGAACGGAGTTCCGGCTGGCTCCCAAGTTGGCCACACCCAGCAGGAACGCATTAGCATAATAGGCCACACCCAACAGCAGAAACTCATTAGGATTGGCTACATTGGGTGTGTGTGGCCTAACATGCAAAGGAATTCCTGCTACAAAAAAGCCCTGGGTTTGGACAACAAACAAGGTAAACAGAATAAGAAGCAAAAGGTGGGTGTGGCTGGATGAGCACACTTCTGGTAACATGGGGGTGTGGCCTAATATGCCAATGAGCTGTGTTGTCAGGGGTGTGGCCTAATAGGCTAATGAGTTCCTGCTGTTGGGTGTGGCCTATTATGCTAATGAGTCCCTTCTGGGCTTTTCCTACAAAAAAAGCCCTGGTTTTGAGAATTTTGCAGGGGCAGTCTTGGTGATTCTGGAGTTCCAGGAGTTCCAGAATCACTCAGGCAGGGTGATCAGCTGTCGGGTGGTCAAGGGACCTGACTGCCCTAAAACTGGTTGCCCTCTTGACCCCACTGCCTGAGTTTTAGGTAGGGTTACCCGCCTTCAGATGAGAGCTGGAGATCTCCCACTCTTACAATTGATCTCCAGAAGACCGAGATAAGTTCCCCTGGAGAAAATGGCTGTTTTGAAGGGTAGACTCTATGGTAACATACCCTGCTGAGGTCCCTCCCCAAACCCCACCCTACCCAGGTTTCACACCCCCAAATCCCGAGGTATTTTCCAACCTGGACTTGGCAATGCTAATCTCAGGCCACGTGGGAAATCAGCACTGGTGGCACTTCAGGGCAGTAGCTGGCTCAGATGCCTGCAAGACTGTGGGGAGGTCACCGTGTGGGGGACCCCTCAACGTGAGGGCCTGGGGCAGTTGCTCTGGATGCCCTGTGGCTGAGACTACCCCTGAATCTTTACATCACAACTTACTTAAGTGTCTTGATGTGCCTTTGGTGACTGCCCATTCCACTAGCTCTCAGTCCTTGTGGCAGCTTCTCAAATTGATGCTGCTGACTGCGCAGGTGTGAAAAGCAGGCAATGCTGCCTCTCTAGTGTTGGGGTCTGGTCACACGGACGTTTAGTGCGGGACTCACCGGGCAGGGGACGAAGCCCGGGCACTGCTTGGGTTGGGGGGGGGTGTTTGCGGCCGCGGATAGGAGATAGGATGGCGAAGGTCTTTTTATTAGTTTGTATGTACGCCCGAGTGCATGGGAAGACAAGCGAATGCCCAGATATATATTTAAAAACAAACAAACGCCTGTATGAACAGTACTTCGTGCAAGGGAAGCGGAAGACAAAGGGACCGTCTGACCACCTCCAAGCGATATAAAATGTCGCGGATATAAAAATAGCGGGAAAACTAGCACAGTAAGAGGTCCGTGTGACCAGACCCTTAGTCATTTAGTGGAGGCTTCTGACTATGCAGGCAAAAAGAGCTGGATGAACAAGATTCTACTCTTTAGATGAACGGATTGATTATACGGCCCAAAAGACCATAGAACTCTTGCCTCTGTTTCGGCGTATGAGATTATTTTGTTTCTCGAACAGGGCAAAAGCCGTCATAAGCTGCAACAACCAAGCAGCTGCTGTAGGTACAAAGCTGTCCGAGCTATGCTCTAGAGTCTAGACAAACTCTGCCAAGAGATGATCAGGCGCTCAGCTGGTGTGCAATTTTAATTCAGATAAAATATGCTCACCACAAAGTTATCCACATGCCTTGTTTCGTGCGCTTAAGCCTTGGTTTCTGCAGAGACTTAACATATAAACTCCAGTTTTTATGAGCTCTAAGCTCAGACTGTCCCGTTACAGCTCCGGTTCTCCCCAGTCCCCACCCCATTGTGGTTACCCCAGAACGGGGGTGGCCAAACTTGCTCAATGTAAGAGCCACATAGAATAAACATCAGATGTTTGAGAGCCGCAGGACATGAAAAAATATCACACACACGTTTTTAATTGGGAAACATGCGAATTTGCCTGTTATTAATATTAAACAAGACTGCCAAAAATAAAAACAAAAGGGGTAAAAACAGATATTGATAATTGTATTTATTTGTCCAATGATATTTGTTTGCTAATAGTATTTATCAGGGGTCATCTCGTAGAAAAAGAGCTAGGGTGACTCATTAGCATAACTCATTAGCATATGCCACACCCCCTGACATCACCGGAAGTGTTTCCTCCCCACAGCCGGCGGCGACCTCCAGCAGGCACCGGCAGGGAGCTCCAGGCCCCGCCCTCCCGCACCTCACCCGGGGGGATGGCATCCCCCCGCGTCCCCCCCAAAATGACCCCTGGTATTTATTTGTCTAAGAGAGTTTAGCCACCCCTGCCCCAGAAGAAGCTGCAGTGACTCTTGCTTGCTCCTTAAGCTCTAGAGTTGGCAGCTCCGGCTTGGGGAAATACCTGGAGATTTCAGAGGTGGAGCCTGGGGAGGGCGGGGTTTGGGAAGCAAGGGGGACTTCACTGGGGATGATGCCAAAGAATCCACCTTCCAAAGTGGCCCTTTTCTCCAGGGAACTGCTCTGTGACACCTGGAGATCACTTTTAATCTCAGGAGATCTCCAGCCACCACTGGGAGTTTGGCAGCCCTATATACAGGGTTGCCAGGTCCAACTCAGGAGATATCTGGGGACTTTGGGAGTGGAGCCAGGAGCAAAGATATGACTTTTGTGATGTCACTAGGCGACTGAACTCTGAAGGGAGTTCTGGTGGTCATATCTAAAGGAACCACATTCCTTTTAAATGCTTTCCCTCCATTGGAAACAATAGAGGATGGGGGCACCTTCTTTTGGGGCTCACAGAAATGGAAACCCCTGGTCCAATTTTTTTTTTAATGTAACCAAGGTTACATTTTATTTTATTTATTTATTTATTTATTGGATTTGTACCCCGCCCTCCCCAACGGGCTCAGGGCGACTACAACAGAGGCAATTGCCATAACAACAGTTAAAACGACATAAAAACAACCATTAAACAATATAAAACAATCATTAAGTAAAGTGCAGTGCTCTTGATGTTAAATTTTTCTTAATCCAAGATGAGTTCCACTTTTATTATTATTTTTTCATTATACACTACAAACATATGTACAAACAACACATAACTACCTCCAACAACACATAACATATAGCAAGAGACATTCCCACTCCTTCTGCTTACTAAATTTCTAAATTCATTATCTATTTTACTAAGCTTATCTTTTCTGCATTCTCAAATCACTACATTTATCCATCAATTAGGTTTACATTATACCAATCATAGAATCTCTTCCAAGTTTTTTGAAAAGTCCATTCTGTGCCGGCTCTCATCTCACGTGTCAGTTTGTCATTTTCCGCCGTTTCAAATAGCTTGTTCACATACTCTTATTTCGTTGGTATTTCCATTATTTTCCAATATTTGGCATATACTATCCTTGCAGCTGTCAACATATAAACTATGAAATACCTATCTGCTTTATCAACGTCCCCTGGTCCAATCTTTTTGAAATTTGGGGAGAGGGTTTCAGGAGAGGCATCACCAGCTATGCCGAAAATTCGGTGCCTCTATCTCAAAAAAGCCCCCCCGGAGCCTCAGATACCCATGGATCAATTATCCGTTATACCCTATGGGGACCGATCTCCATAGGATATAATGGAGCACCCATCAGCTATTCCCTCACCTGCTTTCTGACAGCCCTGAAGGGGGGGGGGCTCCAAACCAGGGGATCCCCTGTCCCCAACTGGAGATTGGCAACCCTATATAATACATAGAATAATTGAAACATTAAAGCACAATAATAAATAACAGTAAAATTCTAATAAAATCTAAAGATGGCAGCCTAATTCTGCGAGTTCAGGTGCCTCTAGAAGGAAACCAGGTCCTTCTGAGTCCCCAGTGGGGGACTTTGGAGGGCATTCCAGGGGAGGCGGGGAGACCCCCGACGTGATGACGTCATGCAGAAGTGACATCATCGTGGTGCAGACTGACAATCCTTTAAATGCTTTGGGGGAGAAATGGGGGTGGCATGCGCCCCTCTCCCTCCCTTCCTACAAGACTTAAAGGGCCTCCAGCTGATCAGTGGGGAGCACATGGC